TCCCCTCCCCCATTATCCAGACGGTTGCTGTCACGCTTGACCAGCTTTTCCTCCACGTAGCCCTTGCTGGGCGACCACTCCGCGATGGAGGACTCCAGATACACTGACGATTCAATCGCTGGCATCGAACACATACAATGCTGGTTTCCGGTTTTGTGCAACGCAGCTTTTGGGCATGACACTGGTCGCAGGCGACGCGCCGAGCAGACGGATTCACAATTACCCCACATGAGACAAGGGAGGTTGGGAGGGCATGGTTTCTTCAACTCAGAAGAAATAGAGAAGGAAAACACTGATCGAATTTCAGGTATTTATCCCCATCTGTTGAGGGGCAGATGTCTGAATGGTGCATACTCACTCGTCTCAGCCGTGTTCGCGCGACGAAAAGGCGGCGATCAGCTGTTTCCCCACTAGGCTTTAGTTCTTACACCAACGATCGGCTAATGTAGGTAGACACGGCAGAGGCAGAGGGGATATGCAGTATGCTGGAGTAGTCACTCTGAACAAATGCAGCTGGGCCAATCGTCCGTTGAGCTGTCGTCTTGGCTTAGTCTCTCGCTGACGCTGATGCGGGGCGAGAAAGGCTGCAAAAGCGGGTCTCTAGGGCTCTAGGCTTACATATAAGAAAGGATGTGCAGGAAAAGCTGACATTGACTGTCTACCGTCTGCTTTTCTCTCTCAGCATGCGGATGTCGTCCAACATGGCATCAGAGCAGACGTACGATTTCATTGTCGTTGGAGGTCAGTATGCGTCTCTCTGCAAGAGTCACCAGCATAGCTTATTGTATGATCAGGCGGCCCGGCTGGATGCACTCTGGCCACATTCCTTGCCAAGTCTGCCAAACGCCCCAGCGTTCTTCTCCTCGAAGCCGGCGGCCGAAACGACGACAAGTCCCTCCGCGTCGACGGTAAGCGATGGACAACCTTTATGGAAGAGCAAATGAACTGGGGCTACAAAACAACCCCGCAAGAACATTGCAACGGCCGCCAACTGGACTATTCCCGAGGCAAAGGACTAGGCGGATGTTCTGCGATCAATTTTGGAGTGTACACCGTCGGGGCTGAGGACGATTATGATGAATGGGCGTCTGTGGTCGGCGATGAAACCTTCTCGTGGAAGAACATGCAAACACGGTTCAAGAATCTCGAAACATTTGCGGGGTCTATTGACCAGAAGTACGGTGGACATCAGGCTGTAGATCATGGCGCCAAGGGTGGTTTGCAGATTGGGTACGCAAAAGAGTGGGAAGATGATCTCCCGTTGGTTCTAAATGCATTTGAACAGGCTGGGCTCAAACGGAACATGGATCATAATTCAGGCAACCCCCTAGGAATGGGTCTGTGTATCAACTCGGCTCAGAAGGGTCTACGGACGACTGCGGTGGATTTGTTGTCTGATGCTCCTGACAACCTCTCTACTATCACGGACAGTCCGGTGCAGCGTATCATTCTAGAGGGCAAGAGAGCTATTGGTGTTGAGACCAATAGAAAGAGGTGTAAGTCTCGTCCAGACCACTTCCTCCAAACAATCCTGACGTCTGAATAGATCTTGCTGCCAAAGAAATCGTCCTCTCAGCTGGTGCCCTCGACACCCCCAAGATCCTAATGCACTCGGGCATCGGCCCAGCCAACGAGCTGGCAAAATTCAACATCCCGGTTATTCAAGACCTTCCAGCAATCGGCCAGGGACTGCGCGACCACTTCTTCGTGCCGATCATCCTAGCCCGGAATCCGGAAACAAACGACCGCAACACCTTCTTCCAAGACCAAGCCGCCATGACAGCAGCGATGAAACAATGGGAAAAAGACGGAACGGGTCCATGGGCCCGGTACGCCTGTCAACTGGGCGTCGGCTGGTTCAAATCAGAGCAAGTAACCTCGTCCACTGAATTCAACTCCCTCCCGCGATCCGTACAAGACTTCCTCAACCGGGAGACAATCCCGCACTACGAGATCATGACCCATTTCCCAGCACACTTCATCTTCCCACACCTCTTCCAAGATTACAGCTATATGTGCATGCTCGTCTTCCTGATGAACGAGCAATCAACCGGCGAAGTCCGACTACAATCGTCAGACCCAAACGACCCACTCCTCTTCGATCCCAAGTTTCTCTCCCACCCCTTCGACAGACGGGCCTGTATCGAGACATTCCGTCATCTCTGGGACTTGACGAAACACGAAGCCTTTGCCAAGGATACCATATCAACAATCATGGGGCCGGCGTCCGAATCCGACGAGGACATCCTGCAATTCTGGAAGGATAATCTCTCGTCTAGTTGGCATATGACTGGTACCGTGAAGATGGGTAAGAACGGTGTCGCTGATGCGGCGGTGGACAGTAATTTCCGTGTGTTTGGAATCGAGAATCTTCGTGTAGCGGATATGAGCGTTGTGCCTGTTTTGCCGAATGGTCATACCCAGGCTACTGCTTATGTGACAGGGGCCACAGCTGCGGATGTTTTGATTCGGGAGTATAAGTTGGATGAGAAATGATCCACAAGCAGAGAATCTGCCTTGTTTGTATGCGAGATTGCAACTGATTGCCTTCTTGATCGGTTTGAGCGTATTTTCATACAATGCTTGACACTCTTTGCTCACTCCCGTGCGAAGACTGATTTCCTAGGTATCTCGGCGTTGACTTCAAATGAAAACTCATATGACCCCCCAGCATCGAAACTCCATGGATACTCATACACCTACTGTGGCGAATGAAAACAAACCACCGCCAACCCCTTAAGGCAAGAAGAAGAGAAATGATCGTCACGTCACACAGGCACTCATCTCTAGTAGCTAAATATAAGGAGTGTAGAAGGAGCCGTACACTAACAGTACTACTCAACATACATACCACGGTTCTACTAAGACCGGAAGGGGGGGCAGGGTGGGGGGGTCAGTCCTCCGACTGTACTGTAAGATGCAATCAGCTTCTGCTTGGGATGGTGGTGATTTCCTAGCATACTATGACAACAGGTCACTGGGCCAAATGGACATGTTCTGTGGCTGATACTGTGCCTACACACAACTGCTTCTGTACTTCCAGAAGGTTATGAAAAGGAGCCGGTCGTTCTGTAAATATATGAACAGTATCTAGGGGGATACAGAGAAGTATTATACCGTAAGGTTTACAGCCACGATAACGATTTTCGAACAAATAACGCTTCAATTGCCTCATCTGCCGCGCAGAATCTAAGACTAATATAGTTTGCTGGGCGGGAGAAAGAGTGAATGGGAACTGGAGTCAGACAGGAATATCATGCAACGATGCTATACAACAATCGCTAGCATCTTTGATGTGTACAGTTCGGAAATATGTTACCATTTGAGAGTGAATATCAATGAGCAACATCGCTAAACCATGGATGGACCAAGCACCGTTGACAGAGATCCCTACCATTGCTCTCGGGCAAAGTGGACGGCAGATTCTCCGACTGTTCGACCCTGACAGACAGCCTTGCACTTGAGGTCACCCTGGGCGCCAAAGGTGACCTCAATGGAATATCCCAAGAGATACTCCACTTGTGCGCCTGTCCGAGACTGTGGGAATTGAGCAAGGTCGACGCTTGCAAAGTCACACATGATCTGTGCAATGAGGTAAACGCCTAGATTGCATCAATAATACATCCAACGCATTCACTTGGGAATAATAACCCACCTGGGTGATCAACTCGTTGTGGGGGGTTCACATCATTATAGCCGTAGAGGTTACTGATCTTCATCAGTGAATCCCCTGCGCGATGAGTGACCACCAAGTCTTGCGTCGTCGTGTGATTCGGGGCATATCTCTCCCCCTTCGCAATGTAAGAAACACTTGGCCCCATGTAGCTTCTCGCGGACAGATGCTAGAACTCACCTTGGCAAGGACCCAGGTAGCAAATCCAGGGACCGTTCCGGCACCCTTGACCGAAAGAGAACGCTCGAAGCCGTAATGGCTTCGGCATTTTCTCGTGGTGGGCTGAGGCCCTCCGAGTCCGCGAATCGCTGCGCCGCGCATGACCATTGCTTGCCTGTTATGCGGTTAGCTTCCTTGTCAGCGGGAGACCATTTCTGACACATACGGGTCTGCTGGAGTGAGTATGGCCAGCTTGCCATCGACGGCAAAGGTTCCCGAGATCCTTTCCCGTAGGTATGCGGACTGGCTAAAGCCGCCGACTAACACAATTTTCTGGATCTCAATCAGCTCTGGGCCCTTCACTCCAATAACAGGGACTGTACATTGATGACGAAGCGGCCAATCTCCTGGTTGGCGCTTTCAATCTGGCGGTGTATTAGCTGCGTAATCTGGCGGAGCACCGGATCGAATATTCCACGGAGGTCGTTGCTGTCACGAGCAGTCAGCCCCTCTCCAGGTATGTCGCCAACTCTGGAATTGCATACCTGGAAAGCAAAACGAGTTGATTTTCTGCGTCAAAGAACGTGGGGTTGGGGTTGTTGAGGGCCATGGCCAGGGGAAGTCGATAGACCCTGTCCACAGCTGAACAGCAGAATGTCTCCTTAATCACCTGAAAATTGTCCATGAACTTGCTGCCTGGGGCCTTTTGTGTAAAAGGCAAGTCCTTGAACGCCGCCCCAAATCTCTCGGACATAAAAAGATAGAAATTGCGGTCGATGGCTGTGGCACCGCACATACCACCTGCTCACTTTCAGCGTCGTCATTCCACCCAATAGGCCTAAGGGAAGAGGACTTACCAACGGCCGAAGTTAATTCATCGAACAACAACTTGGGAGAGACCTCCGAGATCAGATAACTTGTCACGTCCTAGGTCATGTCAGCCGCGCCCCAGTAGTTCCAACCTTGAGCGTTTGTCTCACCACGGTGCCACCGCCACAGTCGCATATCAATACCCCATCACCTGGCTAAACGGGCAGGGTTAGCTAGGGTTCTTTTGCATTGAAGATCGGACCGCGCACTTTGATTTGCATTCCGGGTCCACATAGTGGCATTGTCTCGAAAGCGGTAAGTGTGGTGGTTTTGGTCTTGCAAAGCATGCAGATGGTATCGTCCGGCCTGTCATCACTTGGCCCAAAGCCTGCACGAATAGCAGCCTCCTTGTATTCGAACCGAGTCTGATCCGACCAGACTGCTGGCGTTGTAAACCAGAATTCCATATGCACATCACGAAGACGAAGAGGAGGACAAAGCTTGACAAGGCCCTTCTCCAGCTCTCGGCAGGTATGCACATAGACCTCCCGCAGAAACTCCGTGACAACCTGGATGGCAACCTTTCCCTGAGGTAGCTTCATGATTCCCATTGCGGTTGCCTCGTCCAAAGCCGTGTCATTGAAGTGGGTTATATCCACACCTGAATCCAAGAGTAACTTGGTCCAGGCAAAGGCGGATGCCCCGTGTTCAATTCGGAATCCCCAACTGTTTTTCTGAATCACGCAATTACCTTGAGGATACGCTATCTTGGATGGGACTTTGATGCCAGTGACATGTCCATATGGAGCGGGCCAGGAGCAAACAAGGTTGATAATCGGCAGAGAAGCTTCCCCTAGAAACGCATAGCTGACGCCTATTTTGCGTGGCTAGATTCAGAGCAAGCATATTTTCTGAGTTGAGAATAGTATACCTGTGAAGGTGGTGCCGTAGTCGACACCGACAACGAGTTTGCCTTTTGGATTCATTGTAAATAGGTGATAGGTGCGCAAATAGACTGTGACAAGCTGGATGGCAATCTCTCTGATGTCGACTTAGAATTCTGGTTTACAACGCCATCTAGGAGATAAAACACTTGGAGTTATTATAACGACCAGACAGAAAAAAATTGCTTCAAGGAATCCGTACCATGTCAAGCTGGCGAAGAGAGTCCAGAGCTGGCAACACCTGATGTCCGAGACAGAATGTCGGAGGTTTCGTATTGAAGCCAACACAAAGTCACAGTCAGGCTTGATCCTTCCAAGAAAACTCAATCATGTCTTTGGGCATTGAGACTTGTGAGACAGACCGAGCCGGCCTTTTTTTTTTTTTTTCTCTCTCCATTGATGGGCATGCAGTTCAGCAAGGTCTCAAATCACTGCCAAGAACAGTTCCAGCAAGGTCTTGAGGCTGTGTCAGATACCCCGAGACCTCGCTGAACTGCAACTCATCCATGGACAAAGAAAGTGAATCATGATTGAAGCAAAACGAGAAAACCACGGGTGTGGTGGACTTTGCTTTGTTTGTTGGGAGAAAGAGTCGGGAAGATGGTTTCGCAGCGACAAAGAACTTCTTCAGCCGTTCCAAGCCACCCGGTCAAGAGTCTCAAGACGTCCGGAAGCGAACTTTTCAGACAAAGAATCTGCTCTTCTCTGCTCTCATTTCCCCTGTTTCTTTGACATCTGATCAGCCATCGCGTCTATTCTCATCTTTAGTTCTTTACTTTCGACAATTCCATGTACTACTCTTGCAGGTTAACAATCGTTATAAATCTTCACCTTTTGCCCTCTCCTGATCGTCTCAGCAAGAATCCACTCCTATGGCAACAAGAAAGAGCAAGCGGATTGCATGGAAGATGACTACCCTTAAGGTAAGAAGGATCCCTATACCGGCATTCTGTTAGACTTGACCAGACAATCTTCTTCACGGTGTGGAGGCTTACGCTTGCTGCTTACTGACAGGAGCGCGGTGCAAGAGGCCCATCAGTCCAGCCAGAGGGCTCTTTGACCGCAGAGATGACGGGGACAGTACCTACAACACCGTCAGCCGCTAATGGCCCAGGTGAGGCAGCTGTTGATGTATGTCAGATTACCGTGCTTGCTATTCCCATCATCTCGTCTGGCTCTCTGCTAACAAACCTGGCTTAAACCAGAAGGCACATCCATCTCCTCCGCTGAAGAGAAAAGGCATTTCCCCATGTGATGATCACCCCAAGTCAAGTCAATCCCCCGGAGAGGATGCACATCCAGGCAGCGAATCCGAAGACGACTAACGACCACCGGTTTACGACTTGGCCCAGCAAATAAGGGATCTAAGAACTGAAAATCTGAGGCTCCAAGAGAGGTATCACGCAATATCTCTCACCATGCAGAAAGAAGGATCGCGGGTGCGTTGGATAGGCGCCTTTGATGGAGTCATCGAAAAGACTTGTGAGCGCCTTCAACACGAGATATTCTTTTGGACAGTTGACTACACCATCGGAGATGTCAATACTGTCGACGCAAGGCTGTCAGCAAGTGAGAAGCAGAGCATCATTGCTGCGCTGGAGGGATACTGTAAGCAGGAAGATTGGGAGTCTTTGATGAAACGTTTTCCAGCCAAGATTCAGAAGAGCATCCTTCAGCTCTTTGCTCACACACTCTGGACCAAGCATCTCTTTGAAGATGTCTTCATGAAGCCCTTTCTCTACTTTGACTTTTACGAGCAGGAAGAAATCACCACCACCGCGGGCAAACCAAACACCTCGCTTCCGACAAAACTACAGAACATGTATCAAATGTTTCGAACAGGTACGGTCGCTCACCTTCTGCACAGCAAACTGACTGACCGTAATGTACTAGTTGATGAAGCTCAGGCCCAAGTATGGCGAAGTGACACAGTTCGCCTTGCGAACTCAATCGTTCCGTTAAACGAACAGGCAAATTGGGACGGCAAGACTACAGTTGTGGGCCCGGGAGCACTAGTCCTGGGAGAGAGGAGCAAACAAGCAAGAAGATCCGCGGTTGAACGACTGGTTTCCAGTGTTCTTGACGGTCCCATGCGCCTCATGTTGCGTGAACTCTCCCGCCCGGAAGAAGCTGATCGACGAAGCCAGCTCATTATTGACATCTATTGCCGTATAGCTGAACTGGCAACCACATGCTGGGCCGACAGGTCACTGTGGGAGACACGCGGTCTCGACAAGGTGGCCACCTTCCATTGGCATCCGGCAACGCTGAACCTGCATCACTTCCACTATGTGGAGAAAGATGACCCTAGGCTGGATGGTAAAGCGGTCCTGATCGTAATACAACCCTCTCTATACCGCTTGGGAGGTCTGGACCTTCAATTCCATATTGATAGGATGGTAGCAAAGGGGCTGGTAATAGTGGAAGATCCCACCTCAACTTGACAAATGCAGGAACGGTCTTTTTTGTATTGCCTTTCTGTCTCTTTATGTTGTTTACACGAGTTAACATATTAGGTGTTCCAACTGGATGCTGTTCATAGCTTTTGTAATTCTAGGTTCCCTATTTTATGGTAACGGGCAGTGTGAGAAGCTTGACATCACCAGATCTGCCAACTACATCAAAGAAGCCTTCTCACTTGTCCCAACCGCAGGATCTCCTTCACCAAAGGACTCTGACGCCTTTCCTGTAACACCTAATGAACATTAGCACAACCCACTAAGCATTAAGACAGCAACATACTGCTCTGGTACAGCATAGCGGCCAGAAGCACCCCAATAATCGCAGCCTATGCCAAGTCAGAAATATCCAACGACAGCATCGCCAAACAAGCCAGGAAATCCAGCATACCAGTGAGAGATCCACCCCTTCCGCAACCTCAATCTCCCACTCCGGTCTCTTCCCCGGTACATACACCGCGACCATATCCTTCAACTTGGAGGTCATCACCAACGCATCTCCATAGTACTCATGCGTCCTCGACTTCCAAATATCCTGATCCCTCACACTGAGAACAATCTCTTCCCGTCCATCGTTCCCACCAGCCGCATTGCTGAAGTGGACGTCGAACTTATCCATGAGCATATGCCGCTGCGGAACGACGGTGGCTACTGGGTGGGGATCGGCCCTCTCTTTACTGCCTGGTATATGGACAAACCACGTCACGCCGAGTCGCTTCCGCGCGATTTCAAACAGCGGCAGGCCTGTTGCATCTTGGATGCGCCGCCGCTGGCTGACGGAGGCGAAGCCGCCGTCTACGGTGAAGAGAGTCTGCGGCGGGGAAACCATCGTTTGGGACTGTTGAGATGGTAAAATCGCCTGCGAACCAGCTATTGCTGTGCTGCTTTACCCGGATTGTTGTTGGGCTGGAGGCGATGTATTCTGTTCGCAGGGCGATGGGTTGCTTGAGATGACTTAGGAAGGTTATGATGAGGGACGTTGGAGACAGAGGATAGTTTTCTAGAGAGATGAAAAGGGACAAGTATGAGGTTTCATTATATAAGTCTATCTACAGCTGAGTCGGATCAGCTGATGCGCGTCAGGCTGTCAGCGCCTGGTGCACCGTGAGGCTATACCATCCAGTCCCGGATGCTTAGAACAAATAAAATCCCACAGATAGGCCTGTGGACTAACCCAGTCTAGCATGCTCCACTCTGGCAGCCCGACAGGAATGCTGGGGTTGGGAATGGATCGACGCTGTGGGCCGCTCGGCGCTGATCCCGTATTCTTTCCAGCAAGGGCTGACGAACCTTGGCCATAGAAATCCACTGATCGGCAGAACCGAACAACTAACAACAATACAATCTGTTTCTCTGCAATTGTGCGATGTTAGGATCGGCCAAGCCTCCGCCATAGCCAAGAAGCAAATCAGGAACAGAGGTGCTGGGAAGGAGAAGGAGGAGGAAGATGTAAATGATATGGATGTGCCGTTCTAGAACAGACAGAGAGTTGTAAGAGGTTGAGCGTAGCTAGATTAGCAATGACCTTCGTTTATAGTGAGACGGCAGTATTTACCACGGCCATATCGGCGCCGTTTTCTCCCACAACGTAGATAACTCCCCAAAAAATAGCTATTGATTAGCATAGCCACAACGCCTAGCGGAAGAAATACTAATCTATTCTGGAGGTATTTCTGGGAGAGTACTCCCTTCGATATGACCCTGTAGATACACGCGTACTATGTTATGGATAGCGGATTAGGATGTAGCTATTAAACCTCCTTAATCGAATATCCAAGCGCACGAATATATAAGAGAACGCTCTGCTCAGGATAGTGATCAGCATCTCTAGCTTTATCAAGTTCGTCTTAGTCCACAATAGCTTGGCAATCAGCTGTATGTTTTTCGGTAGTAGTGCAACGGCTGAGTTTTATAGAGTATATCTAGCACATAGACCTCAGGACAGTGTCTCCGTCGCTCAGCCATACTTGAACCCGTCAGGAAGGACTATTTTGCGAGTGTATTATGGGTGTTCTAAGTCAACTGCCCTTCTGCGCGCCACTTGCTTCTATCCTTCTCTTTCTCCCTGTGAACAACGACATCTGGGTAATATATTTTGTTTGCACAGATGGCTCTAGATTATCACGTGTTGAGTATACATCCATAGTTGTCTTCATTTTTGTAGTATTTGTGTGGCATCAGTACGAAAACAAAGAGATCTCATCATTAGGTATACTAGAATTCTACACAGACTATCCATGTCTTCTAAAAAATAGTCTTGATATCCTATATTATTCAAGCTCATAACAAGTAGTCACATTATTACAATTTTACCCGTTCAAGTTTCTCAATCGACCTTTCAAAGACTCAAGACAATCATACATGGATAAAATCAGTCAAAGCCCTGCAACTGCTTCGCATCATCCAGCGCCGGCCACCACGAAGCCCGATCCTTGACAAATAACTCCGCCTCGGGTTTGGCATCATCCAGAGCGTGAGGGTCGTCCAGCGTTCCAGCCAGAAGAATCACACCACCCTCAAACTCCTTCCGATCAGCTGTCTTGTACAGCAAACAGCCACAGGTCCCACAGAAGTGGAGAGTCAGATGCATGCCGCTCTCATGGGTCTGATGGTGTTCCTTTACGGTCCCCTTCACAAGGTGGAAGTGCTCCTGTGGGAGTAGAAGATTAACAGAACTTCCGCTGCTGAATTTCCGGCAGGTGAGACAGTGGCAGACGGCCTGTGTCATGTTAATGTTGATTGTGGTGCGGCTGCAAGGAATAGGGTAAGGCTTATCTTGGTGATAGGTTCGCCGCTATATTCGTACTGTACTGACTGACAGAGACAAGAACCAGACGGCATAATGCTGAGTGTGGAAAACGTTTCTGTTGCTTGTTGTATGTGAAACTGTGAAAGTCGCAGTAGAGATGAAATGGGAACGTAGTGGTGTCCAAAGCTGATATATAGCCATTTCTCAAATTCTGGATCTCGTCAGAAGACTATGTTTGTTTCGAATGCTACGCCATGTATTCAAGAGAGTTTGAAACTCCTGAGGTCCGAGTCCTGGATTGAGTTGTAGTCCGCAAATATGATTGATGTTCATCTACAGCGGAGCGGAATGCCGAGCCCAATTGTCGTATGTATTCTACGCCACTTAGCCGTTGATGGATCGTATGATCAACAACAATTGTGTCAAAGATCGGAATCAAATAAATCAATCCAGATCTAGCAGATAGAAAATGTCAAATGGCAGGTTCTTTTTTGCCGTTCAGATGATACCAATTAAGATCCCCAATAACTTTATTTTTTCCCCACTCTCTCTCAGATGGCGGACTTATCGGCCTCTAACACCCACCAGGAGCACAAAACTGTGGGTAGAGCTAGTCCATAATTTTGGTGAATTAGAACACGCCTTGGGTTGTGGAATTCAGTCATTTTTGTCTTGTTAATTATAACCAGTGAGGGAGGTCTCCAACCACATGGGCCCATGAAGTCTATATCACTTTCCAGTCTAAGTCCAAGTCTACTACTGCCATAGCAACTGCAGCCGGCTCACTATTATCATGTTTCACCTTGTATATAAACCCTGAAAATCATCAACCTAGCACATACGACCATAGGGTGTGGAAAACAGGGCTTCCCGTCCGCTCAGCC